CCCAAGGAGGTGGGGATGACAACGGCCCGAGGCCAGCTTTTTCCAGGCGGCTAGTTATCGCCTCGTCCAGGGAATGCTTTGCCGTGTTCCATGGCACTCGTGCGCGAAGATCGCGTAGCGCGGAGAGGAATTTGGCAGTGAGGGCCTCGGTGCCGAAAAAGGCGAGGAAGTTGGCGAGGGAAACCTCCCACTTCTTGCACAGCGATTCGACCTCCCTGCGGTTCCGCTCCGAGGGGATGTCCTTGAGGGACGGCTTGGTGGCAGTGTCGCCAGGCTGCGCAGTGCCTAGAGACTGGCGAGTAGACGGCATGGTACCGTTGGCGGGCTTTGCGTGAACATGATGGTGTCGAGACAAGTTTCGGTCCCGGTCGCGATGTGAGAAGACGAGACCCAGGCAGGCAGGCAGACCTTCGGTGGGCGTGTTTGCCGTACAGGTGGACGGATAGGTAGGTTGCTCCCCGCAACCAGGATGTTTGCGAGCTTTGCAGCAGCCGTTCCAGCTTGCGGAAAGCTCCCTGGCAAACCCGACCTCCACCGGCCAGAAGGAGCAGGGGTCATGGTTGTTCCCCCCGACCAACAGCGACCTGAAGGGGCGGGGCTGTTTTGATTGGTTGGTGTCGCTGCAGTACCTAGCGTCCCTTTTGATTGACATGGATATCGTTTGATGATCGACCACCGAGGGAGCCTCCCAACGTCCTTTTTTCAATTATTATATCGAATAGGTGCCTAGGAGCTCTACGGCAAACAGAAAAGCCAGCGAACTCAATCTACCACCCACGCCGTTACCCTATGATCGCTCGACTCCTAGCAACCTCCCTTCTCCGTCCGGTCCACGCTCGTCCCTTTTGACAGCCGCGGAGAATGCCATGGCGTACTGCTCGCACGTCATGCGTTCGGGAACGTCGCAGTAATCGGTGAAGTCATGGGCGCCGTACCACCGAGTAATCTCGTTGACGAACAGCGGTCCTCCGTGGTGCCTTGCAGCGACGTCGAGACGGCATCCAACATCCAACGAGCCAAGCTGGGGACTGTTGAGCTCTCGGAGGGATTCGAACACGCCAAGCGAATATTCCATGACTTGTTTGCCCGTGAATCCTCTCCGCTTGAAAGATGCCTCTGGCGGCCTGCTGGCACCGATCTGGCTGTCAGGAAAGGTTTTCGTGAGGCAGATTTTGTGCACCTCGCCTTTGAGGCCGCGAACGCCCTCAGGATCAGGTTTCGTGACGATGAAGACGCGAAACTCCTCAAGAGAAAGAAAGTCGACGAATTCTTGGTGGAACCATGACTCCTTGGACGCTTCATCGACAAGCCGAGGACCACGCACAGGATCGAAGCAAGTCAAGCGCGGACGTACGTTCGTTCCTGCATGCAAGGAGCAGCCACTCCACGAGCGCTTGTTGAAGGTTCGAACCCCTGATAGAGCACATGTACCGTTTCCGCAGCAAGTCACAGGGCGCCAGTCTCGTCTTTTCGCAGCGACCGCGTCGAGAATCCGAATGTCTGGAACTTTGTACCCGTCTGCCTGAGCTTCTTCACGGGTCGGATATGCCGTCAAAACCCCGGCATCTGGATTCCTGCTGATGTAGCCTTCGACGTCGTTGTAGCGCCCCATGATGATGTCTCGAAATGGGAAGCCCGTGTCCAACAGGATCACCACGAGACGACAGCGATGACTGAGTTTGAGATGTCGGTGAAGATCATTTGCGCGGAGATGTTCCTCGACCCGATCCCAGGTCATGATGGTAGATCTCCGCGAGCCGCAGTGATGAACTCCTGCCGAGGCGACAAGAAAGGTCTGGGCAACGCTCATTTTGCCATTCGCGACGTGAACAAGACTAGGAAAAAGGTCGCAGAGATAGCTCGCCTCCTCATGTGAGGCCGGCAGCCATGGCGCGGCATCGGTCTGCGTGTCGTCCAAGTCGAACGTGACGGTCGCATACGGACTGAAGTTGGGGTTGAAAACTGCACTGTCGCCCTCGTATGAACCGTCTGCCATTGGGCACTAGAGAATGAATGATTGTTCAACGGGAGACGGCGTCTGTCTTGGCGATTCCATCGATGCGTGCGTACGACGAGCTGGGATGACTGGGGATGTGGACGGAGCCGAGGGCTTGGGAGTGGGCGAAGTGGTATGCTTTGATATCTTATCAAATACTCTGACACATGGCTTTGCCTCTTGGAATGTCGAGGCAGTCTCTGAGTCTCCATTACGGGAAGCTGAGTTAAATCCGCGGGCGATTTTCCTCGTCTGGAACCACCAAGGAGGGTTGAATGCGACATGGGCCGATGTCGCCGCGCATTTTCGGGTCTGGCGCTTGGCAGACGGTGGAAAGTTGGTCAATGAGCCGATCGAATGCCTCGAGAACCTGTGCGCGTCTGAACGCTCTGTTGGGATGCCCTGTCAGCAGATTTCAAAGCTTGTGGTTGCAAGACTTACTTGGACGCAGGGGTTGGAACGACGAAGGGAAGACAGGTCCGACGACTCGCTCGGCTCGAAGCTAAAGCTGGCAGGTTTGCCAAGTTTCAACAACCAGAATATCTTAGCGGAAGCGATGGATAGAATGCTTCGTTAGGTCGAGTTGCTGCAAGGTGCTTGGCGAGGGTTGGGTGCCGGAGGAGACTCGGGGCGAGAATGGGAAGAGGCGAGACCTATTCGTAGGCGGTCTGAGAAGAACGCAATACAAGGGAACAAACGGCTGAGAGACAAATTCAAAGACTAGGGTGAAAGAATTTGTGAGAGATCCATGGGAGATTCGAGAATCAGGAATCGCCCTTTGGAAGGAAGGCCGTTTGGTTCCAGGCGCTTTGCTCGGACTGAATTGTATCTAAACTACCCAAACAAGTTCTGTGCAGCGTTGATCCACGTCACATTGATAGCTGTCCTCATTTTCATGAATCTTTACAAAGGATTATGCATGGTCTTTGAATATTCTTTGGCCTCTCGAGAAGAGTCAGAATCACACGCTGGCCTTGGGCAGTCATTCTCTGGGAGAAGACGGTCAACAGCCCCCCCCCCCCCCCTTTCGGATCCGGAATCAATCCACTGCGCCGACATTCCACTGCCCACGTCGAGATGGCTCCTCAAGGCTAGTGACCTTACGGGAAAATTGTAAGTGTCCAGCATCAGGATTCAAAGAAGATACTTTGAGACTTGTGTTGATGTCCCTTGTCTCTAACAGAAGAATTGCCTCCAACCGAGACCGCCCATCTGTTCCGCGTTTGCGCAGCTGCATAGCTTACCCTGTGTACTCGATATATTTCGGATTCTATTTCCAATTTTCCACATTTCTTTTAGAGGTAGCTCGACCTAGTCCTGTCGCTGGACGAAGTTGAGACCGTGGAGGTGTGCCGTAGCTCAGCGTTGCGGCCAAGGACCCACACTTTCGCGCAGCTGCCTTCACCACGACGTTGCCTTCTTCGCCCACGAGCTACCACCGCAAGCCAGTCTCAACCGGCACCCATAATCATTGGAACCCAGGCAGAAAGGCCTCTGACTCCGTTGAATTTCATCCTCCGCTGGTATCTCGGTTGTCGTCTGCCTGCTGCAAGGGAAGCCTGCACCCGGCATCGCAGGACGCTCCCGAACAGAATTCCCAGTTACTCATTCACCAAAGGCGACGCGCAGTACCCTTGACAATCGAGAGATGGCCAAACGAAAGACGAAGACAGGTAAGCCCTCTCCAAGAGACCTCTTCGCACCCGTTCCCTCCGTTGCTGTCTCGAGATCTGACCGCCTACCTCCAGCGGCTCGCTCGTCCAAGCTCGGCGTCATCCTCGCCCACAAATCGACAACCAAACCCTCCAGCTACGTCGACACCTTCGACCTCCGTGTCCTCCCCGCCAATCCGCCGTACCCCGCCTTCTGGATCAGCGAGTCCAAAGCCCAGCTCATCGACCCCGAAGCCGTCTGCTACTTTTAGGAAAAGTGCGCCGGCGGCCGCCAGCGTCACATGGCTCATCCCGACCGCTGGATGCCTCTGAAAATACTTGCAGCGCGGAAGGGCACCGACAAGAGAGGCACATTTGTTGTACAGTACGAGACGCGGTTTGTGGGACGCACCGAGGCAGCCTGGGTTGCCGCCACCAAAGTGGGCAGAGTGTTGATTGCCGAGTTTTGGGAGTCGTACAAGGCGCACAGTGGCCGCTCCCAGGAAGATTGGCTGGAGGGCCGCAAGCTGTCGAAAAGTGCGGTTGATTCTCTTGGGCTTGAGAAGAACTGCAAGTCGCTGGAAGACAAGGGATCAGCCAGACCGTACCGCAAGAAGCGGACTGGCGGGAAGCACGAAGAGAACGAGGATGATCTTCCAGAGTGGTTCCCTGCCCTGACGCACCACTGAGGGTGCTATTTCCGAGCGTCTGAGAGCGTACGACAATGTGTAGTCCAGTCGCTGCGCCATTCGACATATTGACCACGAGACTCGACTCAGGATGGCAGCAAGCGTGCGACCCAGACATCTCTTAGGGGGAATGGAAGATTCGTCATTGGTCTGTTCCGAGTTTGTGTAATCTTGGGGAATTCTGAACCGGGAGCGTGAGGAATTACGAGTAGCGACGCGAATGGCACGAGGTCTGGTCGTGGTTATGTTCGCATGCTACCATTGATCATAACGACGCCTGAATGGACAAGAATGTACCGCATGTCGACCCTAATTATGCGCAATGCTTGAACGAAAAACCACAAGCCACCTCAGAATACAACAATGCACACGACACACCGGACCCGTAAGATATTATCAATGACCCCCGGGCTGTGTGAGCTGTGGAGTGTTTGAAATAGCTAGCCTTTTGGGATCAACCTCCTCGACTCCAGACTTCCAGTATTTGACAGTGGAAAACATGGCAAGCGAAGCCCCTGGATCATGCGGCCCAATGCTCATGTCAGAGACCTTGCTAATCGCCTCGCGGAAGATTTCCTCTCGAAAGATGCTAGAGTCGAATCTTTCCTTTGGATATCTGTCTCCGAGTCCTTTGTGGCAGATCGTTCTGATTGCGTGTGCGACCTACACTCCGCTACTAGCAGCATTAGGGCTCTGTGGGACATTCTGATCGTTGTCACTGAGGTTAGCCTGCTGCCTTGCACAACTACTAACATAGACGGGAAAAGCTTTTGGCTCACCCATTGGCCGGATCTTAATGTTTCTATGCCCAATAGACTTTCCAAAGCCAGGGGGGCATTGATTCTGATTGTATTGCCGCGTTCTGAACCCGTATCCGTATCTCTGAAAGGATCGAGGTGTTTAATCGAGGATAATAACTTTCCGAACCCAGTGGAACCATCGTGGACAATCAAAAGCGACCAATGGCCGTTATTCGAGACGTCAAAATAGATCGGCACCAGAAGGATTTGTCCGCTGCCTTTCGAGTATCCTTCAGGAAGTCTTGAGGGGTGACGTCTCGCGGAGGTGTTAGAGTTGAGGCGAAGCCATCCCGCGTCTGCGATGACATACTTTTGTCTGGCTTCGTTGGCTGAAGCTCGTCTGACGGCCCACGAAATCAAGTTCATGATCGCCTCAGTCAGTGGCTGGTCACTTTGAAGCTCTTGACATTTGCGCCTTGCAAGATTGGCGTTCAGCTTTGCTCGCCCCTTGATATCCGCGGCAATCCACTCAATGTCCTCAGGCAAAGTGTTCTTTGAGAGCTTCTCCGACTGTACGTCTTGTTGAACCATCGTGGTCGACTTCCTGTGCAAGCTGAAAGATGTAGAGTGACTTTGAACAAATGCAAGGCTCTCCGGAAGTGCGTATTGTCTGTGAGCCCGATTGAGTTTACCAAAAAGCTGGCTGTGAATAAAGTTGTGATGATGGAAAGGTGGTGGTAGGCTGTGCTGGATTGACTAGTGATGTTGGATGGTGGAGGATTCCATGCAAGTATTTCGCGGGACGCTTCAAAAACAAGAGCATCTCACCAGGGCAGGGTACCTACCTACCTCGCCCACCACCAAGAGTTAACCGGGGAAGGCGTCAATCCATATTTCAGTGCGCTCAAGGAAGCTCCGTGCAGACTCACGTAGAGACACAGAAGGACGGGGCACATTGGTCCTGGTCTCGGTGGCTTTTCGCCCGGCTGAGTGATGGCTGAGGCACGCCCGCCAGTAGCATCGGGAAGGGGGCAACGAGCACTTCGTGCCTTATGGAAACTGCACACAGTGGCGGATGGGGATGGGGACTGCTCAGGTCGGAAGGTACAGCTCCATTTTCATGTGTTAAAGCAACTACTTTTCCTGTGTGCTCGCTTCTATCGTTGCTGCTGTTGTTGTTGCTGTCGTTTCTACCATCGTCGTCCATCGTCGTCATCGTCTGTCGCTGTCGTCGTCTATTGTCGTCGTTTATTGTCGTCGTACTCATCAACGTCACCTAGTAAATGACAATGTAGTCGCCCAGACACAGGAAATTAGGCGGTCTCGGAAGGCACCACAACCTCGCAAGTTCCTCAACTCATTCAGCGTACCTTCTTTGCATGGCGGGCCCACCTCATCATGAATGCCCCCTTGGCACATTCTGCGGAAAGGGGCGTAGCACACCCACGGCATGCACTTTCCAACCTCCGCAAGGCACGCCTGGGACAGTACGGGGGTCAAGGCAACAAGGGCTACATAGTCCGGGTTATGCTATGAGATCAGGCCTGCCACAGAACCTGAGGGACTGCCTGCATTGGATGCGTTGCCAGAGAAGCTGCGCCAGCTGCGCCTCCTTGGATTCCTTTTTGCAAAGCAATAGTCCGGGACGCTCCCATCTAGCCAGGAACTGAACTCACTCACTCGAGCGAAAGAAACGAAGCAGAATGATTCGGCATCTAATGCAGGAGATTCTCGACATGACTGTTGTCGAAATCTTGGTGGACAGAGTAATGGAAAGGAGCTCGCTTCCAATTTGGACGAACTGAGGACTCAGATGGTCAGGTTGAAGCAGACACTTTATGATCAAGTGCACATTTGAGAGATGGGGAAATTGAAGGACATGATTGCATCTTTCCGCGTTTATTATTTCGCGAGCAAGTAATCACGGTGCTTCAAAGCGACTTGTTGGTTCCTGCGAAACCCATGGCCGATGCAGATGGTCTCCGCGCGATTGGCGTTCCTTTTCCGGTAGGTTACTACTGCATCGACACCAAAAACGACGCGGATCAATGAGAATCCTGACCTGTTCGTGTTTTCGTTGTATTTCCTTCGACGAGGTTGAACGACGGCAGCAGCGTTGTCGAAAGCCTTCGAGTCAGTCCGAACGGAAAAAGGTTGACAGGGGATCCTTAACAGAGTCCTCGATTGAAACAGCTACCTCAAAGACGCCAGCAACGTTGCAGAAGGCAACTGAAGGAGACGGAGCGATACAAAAAGATATTTCCCAATCGACAGAGATGAGTCCCGGCACACCATCATGGATACCGCCGCAAAGATCTGACATCGAGATCGGGTATCAGAAGCATGCCATATCACCCGAACACCAAACGCCAGAATAGCACCATACGTAAACAAACCCGAGGAGATACCACATCTCCAATGTTGATGTGTGGTCCCACCCGCTACCTTTTTCCCTTCTTGCCCTCGGCCTTCCATTCCTTGATAGCATCGCTGGGGAGGCAGTTTTCCGGCGTCCACTCAGCCTTGTCGTACCCCACGAATTCCACCAAATATGCAACGCCTCCCTGTTCCCTACCTCGGACCTCGTTCATCTTTCTCTCGCCGAGGATCCTGCTGACGATAAACGGCCCTGTGACGGGGTCCAACCCCAGCACGCGGTTTCTCCTGTTCCACCCGCTCGGGCTCCAAAACTTGGAGACGACCTTCCGGCAGCTGTGCCACAGCTCTTCCTCGGGTTCCCATGTGGGTTCGTCGTGTAGCCATTTGCCTCCCCATTGAACCAGCAGTTCGACGTCATCGCCCTCGCGTCGGAAGTCCAGGATCTTGTGGACCGGGTATTGCTTGTTGTCCGAGTTTGGGCCGGACACTGAGGGCTCCCCAGCGTCTTTGACCGCGGGCTCGGAAGCGTCGTTAGATTTTACGGCTTTCCTCTTCCGGGGGGTCGTGGCCTTGCGACCCGACTGCGTCGTCGCTCTCTTCCGCTTGCCTCGTCCTCCCCTGCTATTCCCATCGTCGGTCACCTGGGGGGCAGGATCTTCGGGTTCGCCATGCTCTGTTGATGGGTGCACGTCGATTGACGGTTGCTCAGCCAGTGCTGGCTCCTCCGGGCTGGGGAGGTCCGTTCGCTCGGGGCCGGGCGCATCATCAGCGGTTTCGAGGGATTCGAGAGGGTTGGCAGAAAGGTCAGGAGACGCCGGTCGCGAACCATCTGAAAGCGGGCTGTCTAGATTCGATAGGGGGCTTGAAAGCCTCGAAGAAGCGTCGGTCCAGTTCGAAGGAATTCCATTGGAGGCATCTAGCTTGTGCGGCGCACTGCGAGGACGGCATGTCAGCATACGAGTTCCCAGAGGCCGCGGAATCCAATTACCTCGACTCGGCATCGCCTCCGTTGCCACCGATGGGACCGCTCTTGTTGAGAGCCATCTTGTTGGCCGATGGGCGGGGACTCATTCCTGCGAATAATCTGGACAGCATCTTGAAAGGATGTCGTTGGAGGAATGCGATGCGATGCGATGCGCCGCGACGTGACGCGCTGAAACAGAGGGGCCTGATTACGTAGCTGTAGTGCACCAAGGAAGTCCTCAGCGTCGCAACAGCTCTGAGATTGCTGCTGGGTCCACTGGCACTGCGCACCATCAAGGGACAAGAAGCACAAAATGGTCCTCATAACGATTTATGCATGGCACGTGCGACTAAATGCACATAACTCACGCGCGCAAAGTGCTGCACAATTGCATAAGTACCTTAAAGTAAGGTACAAATCGCGCTTCAGCAACTGGTCTGCGCTGGATTGACAGAACCTCGGCGCATCGACCCCAACAAGCACAACAGCGATTTCTAAGTAGGTACATTTGACGAATCCTCAGCCGCTTTCGGGTCCTGGACAACTCGAAATTTGGCGAACGTTATGCATAATGATTGCCCCAAGACCAAATGCACCCAGGAACCAGGCATGTCTTTTCAACCCTAAGACACTGATATTGCCCCCATTTCGCGCAAAGATGTTGGCTGCTGGCTGCTAGGGTAGTCACCTAATTGTTGCCCCTCCTGGCGAATTCTGCATCCAATAATGTTGACCAGACGCCTTCATTCAACGGCAAGGGCCATCGAAGATCCATAGCATAACCTCGTCATCGTTCTGAATGCACTTGTGTAAATATACTCACAGATTGCTTCATCCCACACCTCAAATATCACGCCGTTCCTGCCCTTAGACTGCATAGGTTTCCACAAGTCGATACAATCTGAGAAACGTTCGCACATGTTGACAGAAGTTTTGTTTTTCTTTTCGTGTATGTAGTCGAAAAACCGTTTGCGTCTTATCATTCGTTCGGGTGGTAACTTGGTTGGCTCCACGAAGCGTGGCCAACACAAGCTTTTCTTGGAGAGCCGGAGGCGCAAATGGTACAGATGCTGCATGAATGTCAATTCGCTAAGAAGATCTAATGAGCATCTATGAAGAGCCATTCAAAACAGAAGCTTAGGAGCAGGAATGGGCAAGCGCTTCCGCCTAGGCTCGATATTCCCCGGACGGATAGAGAACAGCCTCATCGACTTCGTACCGTGGTCTGTTTTGTGTGCTTGGGAACCTCATTAAGATACGGGCTGTGTGGCTGAAGATGCTGCTTCTCTCCCCCCTTTTCCCGTACCTTGCGCTTGAGGTAAAAGTGACGAATGATATACCCATGTATTAGACTGCAGGTTACAAACGGAGTAAACACAATGTCATTGACTTCAACAGGCCAGCGGCGACAAGGGGAGTACCAATCTTATTAATTTAGAAACGAAGATCAGAAAACCCCAGTGAACAGCCGAAACATTCGCTCATAAGTGCGCGCAGAAAGGCGAATACTTGATATGCTGGTGTCCAAAATCCTTGTAATCTAGTAATCTTGGCTCCATAGGCAAGCCAATACTGTTTTCAAAACAACGAAAAACGTTGTTTGTTCCACAACTGACCTCAGACTCAGCTAAATACTGCATTCCTTCTTGGCGAGGCCTGTGGCACTTCTGGGCGTTGTCGAATCTGGCCACGAAGCTCGCTGCGGTAGTATTCTTGACGTGTGCCAAGCGGTATCACGAAGAAGCGCAGCCTAATCAGAAGATCTTTGATAATGTTGAGGTCAAGCTGTTGCGGAACTAAACATGACACGGCCAGAGATTACCATGTTCTTGCGACGCCGGACGCAAACTAGCTGATTTAGCTTCCGGCGCGAGATCTAGCTAAGGAACCGCCAACGCCACGATAGTACCGGCTAGTCTTCGCTTCAATAACTCAGACCATGTTGCACAGATGGGGCCATGGTTCAGCTGAAGGACGCTTGGCTCCGGTGGTACGGGTCCCAGTGAAAAGAGTGCTCTTTTTTAGGTTGACATACACTTTGGATCTTGTTAAAACATGCTTATTTTGATGTTAAGGTACGGTAGCATTGATCTGATTAAGGTTCTAGTGCAAGCGACCATCGCAGGGTCCACGTCTTGGCAGCAGTTGAGGTGCGAACAAACGCCACAACCACGGACTCTCCCGTCATTCGCGAAGTCTGGCCATTGTTCTTCAGGTCTTGGATGTTGCCGCGATGATCATGGAACATGCTTTTGATCATCATAATAAAAGAATACGCTTGATACTGGAGAGAATTTGTATAAGAACCCTCTTAATGTCCCAGTGTTGTCAAGTCTATCTCTCCTCATCACGCTCACTCAACTCCAGCCTTCATCACAACACATTCTCTGAAACTCATCCACATTCAATCTTTTCCCAATTTCAACTCCAAAACACCAACTTTATTCAAAATGCATATGCCCACCTTCGGTCAGGTTGCCACCATTGGCATGGCTCTTTTCGCCGCTGCAGCTATCGCTGCCCCTGTTGCTCAGCCGCTTGAGGCTGACGTTGTCGAGGTGAGTTCCAAAACTAATGGTAACAAGACATTTACTGACCTCATGCAGCGCTCTGCCGAGATTGTCGTGAGTGTTGCCATCTGAAAGCTTTTAAAGTTTTCTCTTTCATATGTCTTCGTTGCGCTTTGGGGGGAAAAATAGACTGACTTATCATTTCATTAGGCTCGCGGTGATGGTATCTCCGTAAGTACCGATGTGAAATACAATTCCAGGCAGTGGACCACAATCGCTAATGGCTTTTGACTAGGCCTTCGCTGGTGCTGAGCTCGCTGCCCGCGGCGACCTTGAGCAGCGCAACAAGAAGAAGTGCAAGCGTACCAACAACAAGGGATACTGCACCGACTCCGACGACGATAAGAAGGATAAGAAGAAGCAGCAGTGCAAGCGCAACAAGAAGGGCGACTGCTCTGATTCGGAGGACGATAAGAAGGTCAAGAAGCAGAAGCAGTGTAAGCGTAACAAGAAGGGCGACTGCTATGACTCCGACAATGACAAGAAGGACGATAAGAAGGGCAACCAGAAGGATGACAAGAAGGATTACAAGAAGGACGACAAGAAGGACGACAAGAAGGACGACAAGAAGGACGACAAGAAGGACGACAAGAAGGACGACAAGAAGGACGACAAGAAGGACGACAAGAAGGACGACAAGAAGGACGACAAGAAGGACGACAAGAAGGACGACAAGAAGGACGACAAGAAGGACGACAAGAAGGACGACAAGAAGGACGACAAGAAGGACGACAAGAAGGACGACAAGAAGGACGACAAGAAGGACGACAAGAAGGACGACAAGAAGGACGACAAGAAGGACGACAAGAAGGACGACAAGAAGGACGACAAGAAGGGCCACTACTAATTGGTATAGCAATCGTCATCTGTGGAGGCCGTACTCATTGTTTGGTCTTTGCATCTGACGATGCATCGTTGGGCTCCGATTGGACTCGGCATTGCCGTAGGCTTACACCACTTCATTTCTGATTTGTATATTTGAACATCACATATTTATATTTTGTCATCAATCTCATGTTATTGTTGTCGGCCCCATCTACGTACCGAATCGCCTTCTCAGTATATCCGGTTCATAATTCGTGCTTTGATGAAAGAAGCTGGACGGTGAAGTAACCTATTTTGGAGAAACGAGAGAGCTATTTAGAGCCTAGAGCTCATGCAGACCTGATGCTGATGCGATGTGTTAATATCTTGAGCAGCAAGGATATCCTCCATCATCAGTCCCCATGGCCGGCAGCTGGCTTCACAGCTCCACTGCCAGAACCTGACCATTGTATGTCACACCGTCTACTGCATTTCCACCAGTGGTCACGAACAACGTCTTGTTATCCTCGGAAACGGCAACAGAGGTTGGACGATGAATGAAGGTGGTATCGCCACCGCCAGCGACCGTGACATACGTTCCGTTCACGAAAATCTGGCCCAGTGCGTTCTGGGTCTGGGCGGCAAAGATGTTGCCCGACGCGTCAATAACAAAGTCATCCCAAGCATAGCCCCCAGACGCAACCGCCAATGTCTCAACATCGCCAGCTTTGTAGCCGTCTTCAGTGATAGGAACGCGGCCAAAACTGGTTCGTGCGGTGTTCGTGAAGTAAGCATACCCATCTGCAATCTTGATCCCGTTGATACCAATGGGAATGGTGGCATTTGCGGGGGCAGCAAAGAGGTCGTCGGTAATTGCCACCTCAGTCGCTCCAGTCTGGGTATCGATGCGGAAGATGCTGCCAAGGCGCGAGTCGGTAGCCAAGACAACATGAGGCTTAGACGGCAGAGAGGCAAGCCCGTTGAGCATGACGGCATTGGGAAGTCTGGCGACGACGTTGACACTGGGCTTGGAGCTATCTCCGTCGCTGAAGTCGACTATATAGACGCTTTCGTTGGTGTAGGAGTAGTTGTTGCCGCGAACGCCGCCCAAGATGGCGAACTTGTCTGCGCTGGTTGCTGCGATGCCACCAATAGCCGTGGCTCCCGGGAGTTTGGTGACGAGTTCGGCCCCGGATCCATTTGTCAGAGTGTCCAAGGTGTAGAGGCTGCCGTTGTCGAAGGTGGTGAGAAGAAGCTGGCCGTTAGACCGGAGAGCGCTGTTTTCGATAGTCACAGCATAGTCGGTGAAGTTCCATAATTGCGACACCACCGAGGCGGCAGATGCAGAGCTAACTGCGGCTACGACTCCCAGAAAGGCGGAAGGTAACATAATAGCAGTGGCTTTCTTGGATGAGTCTGGAAGCGGAGGTCAATCGTTCGAATTGTGACCGCACTTATGCTTTAATACCTTATGGACTGATGGCGAGTGGATCCTCGGGTCTCGCTGGACAGGTTGCGTGATTGCCGACGTCGTTGGTCACTTTGTGATGAGTTCATGTCGAAATCATCTCGGAGTTACCTTTGTCTAGCAAATCCCCGGGCTCCCCTGATGCCTGCTCCCTTGCTGTAGCGCTGTGGAGATGGGCACTAAATGACGGCAAATACTGGCCAGAGAAATCTAAAGACAGGGACAGATCTGGAAGGCAACCTAGGAAGCAGGTACAATGCAAGGATTCCCACCAAGAGAGCCACTTTCAACGCGGCCCGTGTTCAGATCATCAACGGGGTTAAGCGTCTTGCGGCTCGGATGTTTGCTCGCATCACCCCCACAAAGCCTAGTGTTCGCCATCTTTGGACGAACAACTGACATGGAGGGATCCCTGCCCCTCTTTCAGTGTGACGGTGCTACTGCAAGGGGTTTCCACCTCCTTATTTCGACTCTGCTCCCGCAGGTCGCGGAGGAGGATGCGTTCGATCTATATTGATCATTCGTCAGAAATATCAGAAATAAGAATCATCATATTGACTGACAACTCTTGCAGCCACAGCCAGCCGACTGCTCGTTCTGATAATTCAGCGTCTCACGCGGTTCTCAACGACCGTCAATATTTAAAATGGACGTTTGCCACGCTAGAGGAGACATTGGGCAGCTTCTTGGCGGTTTTTTTTTCGACGGAAGCCGTTGTCCGAGATGTTGAAATGCCAATGGCATTAGATGGCCAAAGTCTTCCAGATGGCTGGGAGAAAGGAAATCAAGAGCTTCGCGCAAAAGTACCCGCCGTGAGAAAGTCTGAAGATCCAAGAGCTGTTAGGAAGTGATGGAAAATAATGACTAGTCAACTTCGCCGGAGCAACCGCGACGAACTGGAAGTCTAACCGAGCAATGTCCTTTGCTCTTTGTTGTCAGCTCCTTCCGCATCTTCTGCTGAACGCGACTTCGCTGCCTGGAAAATTCACCTCGCCACGCGAGAAACAAGACCGGCAGCCTGCGCACACATCCGACGAAGCGCATCTGAGGCGACCTCGAAGCGAGTCAGAACCCTTCCTCAACATCACTTTCGGTCTCCAGCGATGAGCGACAATCTGAAGATATCCGATCATTCGCACCGAGAACCAACCACTATCAACCTCACTTCTTCCTGGTAACTCTTTTGCCTATCTCTTGCGTTATTTCATGATAGCCATCTTACTAACTGAAAAGTCCGAACTGCAGTCACTCCAGGAAACGCACCTTCCCCCAACCGCCAGTCGTATCTTGCTGTGAAAAGCCTTCGACTAGCCATTGCAGGTCGTTCGATACGTGCCGCAAGAATGACGAAGGAGGCACAGGAACTCTACCGGCGAGAAACCCAACGCTGGCGCGACGAACTGCAGTCTCTCCTCGGCAGCAGCACAACACCGGATGGCAAGGACATCGAAAACCTGCAGCGTGAAGTCTGCCATACCGTGGTCAGAATAATCAAGAATGCGCATGACAAGCCCCCGGAATCGTTGTGGGATGTTGGAGGGCCTCTCCATGGCATCCAATATCGTCGGCCTGTCATCAGATCTATCTGGGAGACCTTAGCGCAAAAGCAGACAGCCGTCGCTCTTACGCCCGCGACTTCCATGCGCGATATTGTACCGAGAGACGTTCAAGGTACCCAGTCAGCCAGAGCTGCAAGGTACAGCCGGCGAAATCAGTCCGTCGCAGGCGACTCGGGTTCCCGATCTTCCATGCCGTCCCCATCATCAATCACTGAGTCGTCAATCGCTCCTCCTGGTTCACATCAAGATCAGCCCAATATCCAGCAACTCGCCAAGTCCGACACTGAGAACGTCATGACTCAATGCACAGTCGACGGCCCTCCAGGCCAAGCGCAAACATCTCAATGTAGCCGCGGCGTGGCCTTTACATACATCAACGACACTGGGCCGCTCAAACCTGGAAAGAGCCTTCATGGCAGCCTCATCTTGAGTATCATCCGACGCGCCGCGCATCTCAACCCTTTCCAGTATGTCATCTTGGACCCCGCAGTCTCCAGCGGAATCCAGAACCACAAGCCGATTCCAAGAGACGTACTAGAACAGATGGCATCTTCTGGAAGATGCTCCATCATTGCTCCTATCCACCTTGCCGACAAACAGCACTGGGTGCTACTAAGATTCGATCGACGTAACGACGTTGTTCACGTTTACGACTCCCTATCCCCGACCGGTGTTGATGGCCAAGTTCGAGCCTTCATCCTACTGCTCATCACTACACTGGCGATGCACGATCCCGTCCCCACGATTCACAGCTCCCATTGTCCCCTGCAGGCCGACGAAGGAGACAGCGGAATAGCGGTGATTGTCAATGCGCTGAATATCATGACTGGAAACGGTCGTCTTGGAGTCGACAGCAACAAGAACTACACCCTTTAGCGAAAGGTGCTATGCCCGGTGCTGGATCTGACTGCAAAGAGGATATCAATGAACGATTGGATTCAATCTCATGCTAGCGTTGAGACTGTCAAGATGGAGCTGATGCAGGTGAAGTCGCTTCTGAAAGCTCTATGCGAGCAGACGACCGCTCTGCCCGGCATCAGGAGCGACCAATTGGCGAACGAATTCTATGCCCACAGAACGGCGCGAGAAGCCTTGAAAGTTTGCATACAAGTTGATCCATGCCTCATACGACGACTGGATGCATCAATCGAGCGGTGCTCGGAGTTCATCAACAAGAGAGCAGGGGCTTGCGCATTCTTCGGCCGTGCCATGTCTGCAATTGACGCTACCCTGGACGAGATGGATTGCACTGGAAGCGACAATGATATGTTGGGGGAACGATAGCCGTGGCGCCGTCGACATGACGCACAGGAGCGTCTACCAAACCCACGGCGTCGACTTCGTCGATCTCCAACGGCGAGAGGAAGGATCGATTCATGCTCTGGAGACTGGGCCTTGAAGGCTAAGCCTGACTGCATGTTTACCTGAAGAGTCTAAAGTAACTGGTCGTTGACAAAAATGTTATCCCAATGTGACTAACTGCATTCGCTGTGAAGCTCGGCGGACTGGCAATAGTCTGAGGTTTACTTCCAGAGATTGAGTATCTTGTGTACGTGCTAGCTGAGTTCCAAGATGAAGCAACATTACAATATCAAGAGTTCTGTGACGGATCGGCATAAAGCCGCCCGACGACGTTGCCTTTCAGCAGCCGATCCACCCCCTCCGCTAGCCTTTCAAATGGAACCTCTTCGAGAGCTGGCTGAACTTTATTATTAGCAACAAGTTCGAGAGATTTCTCCACCTCTTGGAGCGAAGACCCGGCAGATCCGATGAGCTTGACGCCCAAGGCAACGAACAAGTGCGTGTCGAGCACTGCTTGCTTCGAAGCAAGGCCAACAAGGATCACTTTCCCTCCAAGTTTGACCGCTTTGGCCGCCGCAGAAGTGGACGACCCCGCACCAGCGAAGTCAAACACAACATCGAATCGAACTCCTGGGAAGCTGTCAAAGGTCGTTCCCGAAGAATAAGCCCCCGCAAGTGCCGCCGCTGGAAACTTGCGGCGGTCTAGGTCGACGC